TCAAAACGCAAGAATTTGTTTTGGAGGAGTGTTTGGCGAAAAAAGTTTAAAATTAAGAAACGTTTCGATAATTTCAAACTCAATAACTTTTATTTTGCATTTATCACACTTTTTATCGCTATTTTAATCGCCGTAATTGTGTTTTTGTGTGAAATATTACTTTTTATAGTAATACACAAATTGCATATTTAGTTCAATAATAGTATTTAACTATTATCACTTACTATTAAATGAATATAAGGTTTTAAATTCAGTAGTAATTTATTATACCGCAAATATTTTATTACATTATTTAACATAATATTCTTTATATGGTAAGGTATATGTGTACGCATAATTAATATAATAATATAACTAATTATCAGTCGTAATTACAAAAGGGGTTTATTTTATGTGCGACTGGAGCCATACCAAGATCCTTTTAATCTTTCGAATTGCTCTCTCTAGAATGACTCGCTTTTGTAACTTGGTTCTTTCATAGTCGTCTAGACTTTTGTTCATAATGAACATACTATAGATGAACGCGCACACAATTACCGTCAAACTACTGACACCGAAAATGACCAAGGTTGGTGTGCCATGAACTTTAAGGGTGTAAAGATGTCTAAGGAATACCAATACTAAGAACATAGCTCCTGCAAAACCTATAAATAAAAACTACAAGCAAGGACGAATTTATAATAAGTTCTTGAACATTGAATATCAAACGTACCGTTTTCTCGATGTCAGTTAGTTGTGGTCTCAAAGTTTGCCTGATCAATAGGTGCTCGTTTGTAGGCTCGTCCAACCCTCATTAAGTGAGCGGACCTTGCGCTTAAAATTATTGAGACAATTATGACTGACCCCTACCCTATCGCCGCAGTCACGGCACACAGGGTTCTGCAAACACTTTTCCAAATGGGTATTGAAATCGCCTAATCGTATGACTTGACCGCAACCTTCATCATAGAAATGGCACTTAATCTTCATATTCTTCAATAGATTGATGACAATCATCGGCGGTGTGACCAACTGGGCCGCACTCAATGCGTGCAAATCACTGGGACAGGTAGTGTTTTTCAATAGCCATTGAGTGACACAGTCCCGACAATAGGTTAATTTACAGCACCCACTAATAACTGGGTCTTTAATGATGAGTTCGCATATATTGCACGTAAACTCATTGAGATCAGCCTCCGGCACGTCCACGAATCGGGTCCTTAACCGGGCATTAGGTTTGAGGGATAATTGTCACTGGAGTTAATGAAAGCAAAATTTATTTGATAATATAATGTAAATATACTGAATATTGCGTTTTAATAGATATTTATTTTTGTATATTATACATTATGTGGTAATGTGGGCTATTAATTTTTAATCAAAATAACTTGTACATTGAAGTTTGATATGTGTGTTATCTAATATTACAACGGTGGATTAATTTAAATTATTTTAAAATTTAGTAGATGTAGTAATGTTATTAGTTGCATAATAATCTCCAAAGTCTACTAATTAGTGATGCTATATTTAATTAATTTATATTCCGAGTTTGGCCATAAATTACTTAAACATAACACCTAGATAACACCGCTAAAATGTATATTACAGGTAATATGCAAATATGAATACTATTACCATAATAGTATTTGCTATAAAATAAAATGTGAACATTTAATACAAATATATTTAAAAATAAATGCAACATACATTAAATAATTGATTTTTAATATTTTTAATATTAATATAAATTATACAGAGTAATATTATGCAGTGATTTAAAAAGCATAAACAACAGAGGTATGTAAATTGATATATAATTATTATCCAACTACTGATAATGCTAATGACACATTATTTTTATTTATTTATTACTATACATTCACCTCTATTTTGGATATTATTTATAATTATTTATCGAACGAAATAAATTGCGTGCTGTATAGTAAGCCAGGTACAATACCCCAAACACAATAAACACAAAAATACTAATATTGAATATAGAAAGGTTGATTATGGTCAAATATCTCTTGAATAGTTCAACACTTAATCCAAGCGATATCGGCATACAGACCAGAAACCCCACAAATAAAAACTATAATCATAAACAAAAGGGATTGCTAATTGTTTGCATAAAATGACATTGCTAATTATACTAACTATTCTCTCTGTGATGGTAAGCTTGGGTCTCATAGTTTGCATTTGGCTTTCCATGTGTTTGAGCCGTTCATTAAGAGACTTGACTTTGTCTTTCAAATGCTCGAAGCAGTCGTGAGTGCGGCCAACCCTATCGTCGCAGTCAATGCACACAGGATTCAACAGACAGGTCTCCAAATGAGTGCTCAGATCACCCAATCGTAGTATTTGTCCACAACCCTGGTCATATAAGTGACACTTGATTCTTAGATTCTTCCACAGATTAAGGGTAATCCTGTGGGGTCACCAACTCTTTGACTGTAAGTGAGTGCATAAGACTGGGACACTTGGTATGGGTGGACAACCACGGGCTGATACAACTCCGACAATAGATTAGTTGGCAACATTGGATAATAACCGGGTCATTTAGTATTTTCTCGCACATATTGCATGTAAACTCGTTGAGGTGGGTGTCGGACACCTCCACGAATCGGGATTTCTCGTGACCCGGCATTTGTTTTACGATTAATTTGTTAGTAAAATTAAACTCAACTGGATGACTTTAATATAAATATTGTATGCAGACATTTGCATTTATACTATTATTAAAATAAAGTATGCTATTTATAATAATATTTGTAAATGATTTCCTATTGAAATCAAAATAACCTTTATAATAGATACGAGACATATCATAACAGTTTTATCAAACACTATAGTTACTGTCGGCTGTATTAATACTATAAGGGTTTTTAAAATTTACTTTAATACCTTAAGTATTAATACTTTAAGGGTTTAGTTTATAAAATACTAAACTAAACACATAGACTGCAATGAATCAAACAGTGTTAAGTTATTCACTATTTATAATTCTTATTAAACACTATTGTCAATTCATTATCATATAAATTAATATTAATTAAATAACTAAATCTTNAAGTATTAATACTTTAAGGGTTTAGTTTATAAAATACTAAACTAAACACATAGACTGCAATGAATCAAACAGTGTTAAGTTATTCACTATTTATAATTCTTATTAAACACTATTGTCAATTCATTATCATATAAATTAATATTAATTAAATAACTAAATCTTTAAATCATTTATTATAATGAAAATCATAAATTACACGGATCATATTACTTAAAAAGCATAAAACAACAAGCATATGTGAATTCATATAGAATTAATATCCAACTACTGAAAAGAGCAATGCCAAATATTTGATTACTGATTTTAAACTTAGATTGTACTTGGTCACAGATCACTCCTACTGAAAATAAGACTAAAGCAAAGCCAATACTTAAAACCTATAACCAAGGATAAATATCATTAATAAAAGATTGTTAAAAAATTATATAATAAATATACGTACCAATGCAATTATTACTCTCATAACAAGGTTGAGTTTAGGTTTCAAATTGTGCTTGATTACGTTTCGCTCATTTTCTAGCCGTTCATTGAGTGACTTAACTTTGCGTTTCAAATGCTCGAAACAATTATGACTGACCCCTACTCTATCGCCACAGTCATCACATACCGGGTTCAACAGACAACTGTCCAAATGAGCACTTAAATCACCTAATCGTATCACTTGACCACAACCCTCGTCATAGAATTGGCACTTAATCTTCAGATTCTGCCACAGATTGATGACAATCCTCTGCGGTGAGACCAACCCTTTCACAGTCAATGGGTGTAAACTACTGGGACAGTAGGTATGGGTTGATAGCCATTGAGTGATACAATCGCGGCAATAGGTGTGTTGACAGCATCCATCAATAACCGGATCATTTAGTATGAGTTCGCATATATTGCACGTAAACTCGTTGAGGTCGGTGTCGGACACCTCCACGAATCGGGATCTCTCGTAACCCGGCATTGGATTCAGGGTTTAATTGAAACCAGTTTGTAATATTAAAGTGAAATATTAATAAAATTGATAACATTAATGTAAATAAACGTTGAAATTCACGTAAACGCTTTTTAGATAATTGCTATTAAAAGTGATTTTTATTTGAGTCAAAATAGCATTTACATTAAAACTGATAATAGTATTATTTATTATAGTCTGCCAAATACAGTAGTTTATTTGTTATATCATATTTAAGGTTTATAATTAATTATGGGAATTATTATTATTATTCCTACTAACAAATAAAATTTATTTTAAATTATTAATGATAAAACAAGCAATCATAATAAAATATTGTGTTTATTTCGAAATTATAACTTATATTTAAATACAATTAAATTACATTATTTTATATTGGAGTAGATATAAAAATATTCATTTCTAATGACATTATTAACGCGATATTCTTACACAGGTGTATATAAATCCATATAAAATTAGTGCCCAGCTACTAAACACTCCAAAAACAACTTTATTAGGGCTAAATTTATTCTTGATTAAATCTTCGCCCACAATCGGTACTAAAACCATAGCCGCCCCAAAACCTAGAGTTAAAAACTAAACACCATGCACAAATATTATTAATACTATAATATGTTGTCAAAAATAATATTCTATAAACAAATGTTCATGCACAATACAAACCGATAAAGCAACTATGCCTTCCGTATTCGTTAGCTTTGGTATCGTATTTTGCTTGATTAGGTTGAACTCATTTTCCAAGTTTATTAGTCGTTGGCCAAGAAATTGCACCCTGCGCTTTAAATTATCGGTACAATTGTGATCGACGCCTACCCTATCGCCACAGACATCGCACACCGGGTTTAACAGACAAGTGTCCAAATGAGCGTAGAAATCGCCTAATCGTATGACTTGATCGCATCCGTCATCATAAAAAGGGCACTTAATCTGCATATTCCTCCACAGGTTGATGACAATCATCGGCGGTGTCACCAATTGATCGACAGTGAGTGCGTGTAAGAGACCTGGACAATTATCATGGGTTGATAGCCATTGGGTGATGCAGTCCCGGCAGTATGTTATTTGACAACAGACACTAATAACCGGGTCATTTAGTATTAGTTCGCATATATTGCACGTATAGGCGTTGAGGTCAGCCTCCGACACGTTCACGAATCGGGTCCTATCGTAACCCGGCATCCCGTTTGACAAAGTAAGCTGGCTATGAATTTCATAAAACTTTATTCAAGCAGATTATATTAATGTAAAGTGCTGACATTTTCATTTATATTAAAAACTTATAATTTATAAATATAACGTTATAATGTTTGTATATAATATTATTTATTTTTAATCGTAATAACCTTTATATTTAAACCTGATATGTGTGTAGTGATTACACCGTTATCAAATTAACACTCATATAATACGCTAATAATTTTATATAATAATATAATACCTATTTTATCATAATACTATTTTATATAATATTTCTAAATAATAAACTACCCGTTATCATTATTTAAAGCAGTTACTTAAGCAATATCTTGGTTAGAATAAAATTAAATGTAATTATATAACCTTAAATTTTAAAACTTTTATTTTCTATAAAATATTAAATGTTTTTAACTTGAAATAACTATATTTTTTGTATGATTAAAAATGCGAAATTCAAATGTTTATTCAAATTTGTTTTTTCAAACTCGATATCACTCTAACCCTGGATGGTCTTAGGTGTAGGAAATCCTAAATCATAAGACTATGAAATAAAATATTAATCAGAAATTGCGATATAATCAATGAAAACAAAAATAATGTATAAAATTGTAAAATACTGTAAACACAACTTACATGTTAAGTAAATATATGATACATTTAATTTCAAACATGATGGAAATTAAAACATAAATATTTTTAGTCTGAATAATAGAAATTATAAACATTTAAGTTTGTGTTGAATGTAATAAAATGAAAATTATTTCATACATAATCTTAGTTTATTACATAATTTCATGTATTCAATGCTATAGAAGTGAGTATATGTTATAAAGTAAATAAAATATTTATTTAATTTATAATAAACTCAATCCTATTAGATTGTGGCAGTGATTACACCGATGACCAGGGTACCATCAATGTTACGTACGTTGTGAACGAGAGCTCACCGCGACTTATGTGCGAATGGACTCTAAATGTGACCCAAAATATGTCTATTTTACTATCATTTGAGTCAATCCATGGACTCCAGACATCGCCCGACATAACCCTCAATGTGTTTGACGGACCCACTGATGGTCACAAACTACTACTCGAAGAGTTTGGACACAATATTATCCATACGATAGTCTCGTCGCAGAATATTCTGTTCATTAAACTGATGGATGAGTCCGACGAGGAATACGCTTCCGATGAGTATTACACCGATTCTGACATCAATTTGCAGACTATTTCACTGGTTATCAACTATAAGGCCATTCAATACGGTATTTATTATCTTGATAATTAATATTCATTATTAGCTAGCTAATATTATAACTATACTGTACTTAAATTTTAAATATTCTGTTAATAGGATGTGGTCTAGGATTTAATGACAGCGAAAAAGGTGTGATATATAGCCCGGGTTATCCATATGGTTATTATAATAGACTTGTGTGTGAATGGGTTATACATTGTAGTGAGAATGAGTCTATTGTATTGTACCTGGATCACTTTGAGACACAGGAGACCGCGGACTACTTGCTTATTGACAATAGTGTGCGATATAGTGGTTCTTATGTATCAAAAAAAACAACTTATATATCAACTAACAATTCATTGCACTTAATGTTTATAACAAATGATAATACAGTGGATAAAGGGTTTCGATTGAGTTATGAAACCAAACCATTATTATTCACTCATAACACGTCTAACAGTTTCAGTTCATCCAAACAATACATATTTTTATTGTTTTTAACAATTATTTGTAATTGTTTTTTATTTAAATAATATCTAATTTTTTAATTGAATATAATTATAATTTATACATTTAGATTATAAATGATTTGCTAAACGAATAAGTGATACAATGTGCAAGAATAAAATTATTGATCCGCTAACAAAAAAAGTAATTGTCACAGGGCCATTCTTATAATTGGCATCTAGTCAGCCACAACAATACAACAAACCAAATGTCATCAAACCTATAACCTATAAATGTAAAAAGCAAATAATATTTTAAAATTAACATTATTATAAAATATATAAATTAGTGCAAATACTAACGCAGAATATGACAAATATCGCAAGTTTAGGTGGCTCAGTTTGCAAACTTCGTAATTGGTCATTCAGTGATTGTACCCGTTTATTCAAATAGTCTTTTCTAGCCATTATTTCCGTAAAGGTTTCGCATTTCTTATTTGGGTTTTGTTTACAAGTGGCCAAATAAACATCGTAATCAGCTAGGTTAAGATATAAATTAAAAATATAAATGATTGTTAAATAAAATAATATAATTATAACAATCAATTTGGTAATTTAAGTTCACAGGTAAATTGTAATAACTAGTACAGTACAATTTTTAAAGTTATACGGATAATACAGTAAATAGTAATATACAATTAAATTAGATTTTAAGACATTTTAAAAATAAATTAATTATATAGTTTTAGATCTTGATACTTTTTACTCAGATTCATATTTTTAAATTAAAAAATGATTGACTTATTTATTATTAAACTTTATTTAGGTACATAAAATATACTTATTCTATTAAGCATACGAACTATGTTTTTGCTCTGGACACTTTATATCTGGACACTTTGTAACTGGACACTTTATAACTGGACACTTTGTACTCGTATCTGTATTATCTGAATTTTCTGTATTTCGATTTGTCACCATGGGTGTTTTCACATCAAATCCATAATAAATAATACTCAAAATAACCAAGCCAATAGTCTATTGAACAAACATTAAGTTTTATATTAATTGTAGAATACACTGAATATTTTTATATATTCTATACTAACCAATAAAATGAAAAAACTTTGCTTGGGTCGTTTATTTTCATTTGTTAAATTTAATACTTGTTGATGGAGTGTTTGCACCTTTGTTCTCATATTATTGAAACAATCATGATTTGCACCAGTACCATCGCATATTGGGCACACAAAATCATCTAGGTCAGCGTTGAACATACCCGCAAAACGAGATTTCTCGTAACCAGACTTTCAATTCAATTATGATTATTATGAAAACAAACTGAATATCATTTAATTAATGAGCCAAACATGCAATACAATACAAGTATTATACTAGATATGCTTATATATTGTGACATTTGCAGTATATCACAATAACCTATCACAAGGGTTAATATTACATAGTTTGAGTATTAGTTATATAACTAAATATCTATATTTGAAATATTATTAGAAAGTGATATGATTTTCTTAGTTTTTGATAAATATAATATTTTTCTTATTTCATTTGAGAAGGAATGTCCCTTATCAAAAGTAAAATTTATCATTTCTGTAGATATTTTAGTATTCTGTATCATAATTAGATTCAATTTCAGTAAAAACTAAATTCCACTTGAGTCATCTAACATTAAAATAATTATAATTAATATTTATTGATTATCAATTTAATACAAGAAATTGTTAGCACTTTTGACTCGATATTCTTACTTCACTGCACTGCACTACACTTTAATACATATACATAGAGATGCTTGCTAATTAATTAAAACTAATTATAATTATTTTAATGTTAAATGACTCAAGTGGAATTTAGTTTTTACTGAAATTAAATCTAATTATGATACAGAATACTAAAATATCTACAGAAATGATAAATTTTACTTTTGATAAAGGACATTCCATCTCAAATGTCAAATAAATTGTTTTTATTCCCATTCTGATATCAATTAGCAAACTATTTCACTGGTTATCAACTATAAGGTCATTCAATATGGTATTGTATTATATTGATAATTAATATTACGGTAATACTTAACTAGATAATATTGTATTATAACTAAATTTAATTTTAAATATTCTGTTAATAGGATGTGGCTTAGAATTTAATACCAGTACAAATGGTGTGATATATAGCCCGGCTATCAATATGGTTATTATAAATTTAATAGACTTGTGTGTAAATGGATTCTAGTGAAAATGAGTCTATTGTATTGCACCTGGGTCACTTTGAGAAAAGGATTACTTGTTATAATAGTTATTATGTGACAAATAAAAACAACTTATATATCAACCAATACATAGACTTAATGTTTATAACAAATGATAATATAGTGGATAAAGGGTTTCGATTGAGTTATTAACAGTTTCAGTTCATACAAACAGTACTGTATTATTATTAATATT